TGGAAACTTGTGATTTTTATAGACCTCTAATCGCAGATTCGTGATAGAGTCTCAATTCAGAATTTCTTTCCACGCCCTGTATGATGAATGTCAATTTATCATACACCCAAAAGCAAATTTTAGTTTTATTATTCCAAATGGGAAGATCATGTGATAGGTACATGGCGAAAATAAAAGACAGATCGTTTCTGTACGAGTAGCTGAAATCGAAAAAATATGTTCTTATCTTAGATTCCTCAATATCATGAGTTATTTTCGAAGGTTTTCATCTTGACTCAAACAAACTATTGACAACCTGCAGATATTGATTAGAATATCAAAACATTTTGAATAATATCGGTTTACTAATGATCTTTGAATTTCAAAGCCTACCAAGTGTCGAAATATCATCGAATTCATGTCACAGCCAACTTATTCTTTTTGAATAAAAAGCAATTCGACAGTGAATTAAGAAATGAATGCCACTTTGTGATACATGGTTGGATAGAGAATTTCAAGGCGAAAAAGATAGACTGAAAAAATGTACAGGGTGACATTTAAAAAAAAAAGTTTGGGGTCACTTCCGGTCAAACAGGTGGTTGAAAAAAATTGTCGTTATGTTCGTAAAGTGCGCTACTATTTATTATATATACCCCCTGTGAATTTCAAAGTTTTACCTCTTCAAATAAAAAAACTACAGGCTGCTACATGTCTCCTGTGTCACCCTATAGTGATAATGACTCCATTTTTATGTTTTCAGAATGGCTGTCCAAGGGTTTTCTTGCGTTTTGAAAAACGTGTGCCACATGTACTCGTATTTTCTTGCATCGGATTCTTGTGGATTTTTCTGCCAATTGGGAAACATTATATTGACAGAGACGGGATATGAAGCTAATTTTTTCAAGAACTTGATAAGTAGATGTGATTATTATGAGCAAATGTGCCCACATCATTCTCCAGAAAGTACTACAATAAGTTATGGATGATATGATCTAAAATTAACGATTCATTTTAGGTGCCAATTTTATATTTTATCTAGTGCAGATTGCATAATGTGAGATAGAAACGGTTGATCAACTGTGTACAATTGTAATGATGTAATGTCATAATCTTGATTAAATACAATTCATATATTCAAATTCATACATTCATCAACTCTCCCCTAATAACTCATTTGAGATAATCATATATATAACCTTCAACCTATCGAGAAGAAAAAATATAGTAGCCATAGCCGCCATTCTTGTCGATATTTTGGGAAAAAACTTTTAATTATTGAACATCCCTCACGGGACATACTAGCGACATCTCACGGACATACTATGTATAGGACCACCATGGGATGTATAATACCTGCAGTGCGTTCTAGGGATATACCTGGTTTTACCTACACCTACACACCAATGAAGAAATTCCATGGGGATATAGCATCAACAAAAAAGCAAGTTCTAGGGATATCCCTTGGACAATTCTGGAACTTCACTGTCATGACAAGAAACATCTTAGGGATGATAAGATATAATAGGAAATATCGGGAAGTTCAGTCAATCGAGCTACGAGCAATAGTTATTCATTATACAAGGGAAAAAAGTAGTAGATTTTAGCACTAGGTTGTGTTGTCTCCCGACGCGTAGCGGAGGGAGACAAAACACCGTGAGCTAAAATTTAATATTTTTCCCGTGTATAATACACATTTTTTTCTGTGACAGAAGGAAAGACGAATCAATATTGAGAAGATATTACATTATTTTGAAATCTGAAAATTATCGACGTGAAATTTTAAGTTTTTATAACAGCAGAGACACCTGCGTTGTAGGCATCTTAATCATTCTTTTGAAGTAATCAAATATCTGATGTCACTTCTAATCACTCTAATTCTGTGATTTGATTTAGAAAAATTGCGGATTCAGTGGTTGTTTTGTAATATACTTAACCGCGAAGCCGAATGGAAGATAAAAGGACTTGCAGTTCTTTCTCGGAGACGGTATTATTGACTCATTTTTCGGTACTATAGCACAACAAAAGCCATCAACAGTGCATATATATGTGATATATATCCTGAAAAAAAGTACTCACTTTTTTCCCACGGGAAAGAAGTAATTTATGAAAAGTGACATTTTATAACCTGCCAACAGAGATCAAATGCCAAACTTTTTTTTATATTGATTATTATTCCAATTTATACCTTTTAACTCACATTGCAAGTAAGTTCTTATTTTTTTTGAATTGAATAGTAACAAAATGTTTCATATACCATATATTGTTTCAGCCTTGAAGAAGAAAATAAAATTTTTCGAAAGCTTGGCAAAGCAATAAAGTAGTTTGCTTGTAGCCCCATTCGACTGAACTCCCCGATATTTCCTATTAGACGTATATCATTTGTTTCAGACGATGTCCAGAAAAAAAATTGTTATGGATGAGTTGAACCTCATCGCTGACTATTTGTCAGAAGTTTCCAAGTTTATCCGACTTTTCGTCGGGGAGTACCGATTTATGGGAGTCGTCGACATCTGCAAAAAAGTCCCCCACCACATAAAAAGTACTCGATATTTCGATGTATCGTAAAACGTGGTTACTTTGCCAGAAATATCTGGTTTTCACGAATAATTATTGAACGGTGGATGATATGTATTCCCCTAAGATGTATGTTCAATTTTGGCTCTTTCCTCATGCGACTTAAAGATTCAATTTGATGTAGGTATGGAGAGAGTATTTCATTTTTGGATTTTGAAATTGGCAAAGTATTCACACAACTGGTGGTAACTTTGCAATATGTGATGTTAAGTATATATAAACATGCATTTTTGGCAGAGTTGCTTCTTCAGGTGAATAATTTGCTATCCATCCATGAGTATATAACAGGGGCTTCAGAACCAGAAAGAAATAAACACAAAATTTTGATAAAGATGCTGTCAACATCGAGCTCATGAAATACCTGGAACTTTCAGGTATTATCAACGATATAGGCAATATGGCTTCCGTCATCAGAGATCAACTGGTGACCTGCTCGCTTACGTCTCACATATGTGGCAGCAATCTATTAAAAAATATGGTGAAACCTTAGCCGTGGCACTTGATATCTCCAAGACATTCGATTTAGTCTGGCACCACGGACTCCTCGCTAAGCTTCCATCTTATGGCTTGCCTCCCCAGTTATGTTCTCTGTTAGCTAGTTTTCTCTCAAACAGGTCTCTTTATTTAGTAGTCGACGGAGTTTCATCTGACTCCCTTATCACAAATGCTGGTGTTCCGCAAGGATCAATTCTAGCACCAACACTATTTCTACTCCATATCAACGATTTGTTGGTAGCAACTTCATGTCCAGTACACAGCTTCTCGGATGATAGTACCCTCCATACCGCCTTCTCTTCCAAGGCTCCGATACCAGCCAGGCAAATCAGAGACTAACGAGGGAGAAATGTTGACAACATAAATATTGGCTAGTTCTTTATTGACATTCCCTAGCCTGTGTATCATACTATTTTATGCTGCAATTTTATGTTGATAATAATTCAACACACCCTTACCAACATAAAATCACCTGACAAAGCTACTGTTTTAGCAAAACATGTCGTGTGTTAGAGAATTTTGTGGAAATCTTATCGTTTGTGAAGTTATTTTTACATTTGCCATGGATTTCCATCAAGTAACCGCCGATTCAATTCAGAAAAAAAAAGAATGAAAAAAATATATATGGAACTTTGCCAACCACCAAAAATTCGTCAAGTTATTGATATAATGTTTTGAAAACCTGTGAGAACATTGATAATATATAGGCATGTTGAGGTCACTACTAGGAAAATATTGAAATGAAACATTCCAGAAGATACTTACGGAACCAACTGTCGCACGTAAAAACACTCCCGCCAAATAGGCTGCAGGTGGTTTTTGGTACCTAGAGCTCTAACCTATTGAGCTATCCGGAATCTATTGATACCAGACAACACTATTTATCGATATTTGAAGAAAAAGTTCGAAATTCGCCCTCTTCTCTTTCCGCTCGTTTTGGATGCATTTACAGCCACTTGCTCCTATTATTTTGTCATTGGACACTTTATATACTCATGATGTACTTCAATGACACATTTTTCTATAGAAAATTCAACAGGAAATATGATTTTTATGACTATTTTTCATATTTAGTGAACAAGCATCCCATATGACGGCCATTTAATCAATAGTCAATCCAAATACGAGATGTCAAATGTCAACAAATTGCTTTTGAATGACATTACACATCGCTGAATATATGGATAAATCACAAGAAAATCATGTTTCTAGTTGGCTCATTTAATAGAAACAAATGTGTCGTACATTGTGATATATAAATAAATTGTCCAATGATGAAAAAAGAAGGGCCAATTGTTCTAAATGCGATCCAGAAGACAGGCGGAAAAGAAGGTGGAAATTGTAACTTTTAAATAATGGTTTGTTCATATTTTCATTATCAAATTCGTGTTTTTCAGACAAAAATACGTATCAAAAAAATGTTTCGAAAAAAAACCCATTTCATGATAAATGCAGTTTTACCATTGGTGATTTAGCATAAACAGTTGAGAAATGAGAAATGTTTTCAGATTTTCCACGAACTCATGGCAAAGTTACATGGAGATGCAGAGTGACCCCGTTTTACGGTAGAGGTTTTATCTGATCGCCACTGACATTAAACCACTAAAAATCTAACCCATAACCCTTAAAACAAAAACTTATCTCGAAAGGGTTAAGGTAGCAGGCTCTCAGGCTATAGAGGTGAAAAAAATACATTTGACATTATATATTTAATCAGTGTATCTATTTGAAACAGTGATCTCCTGCTTAAGTATAACTCTTGTATAACGGAACAGGTGCTAATTGTTCTCTGGTCCCAATCTCTTGTCATCTAGATTTCTGTCTAAGCATCAACATAATATGTTACAAACATTATATACCTACCGTTCATTCTCAATAGTAAGTTTTGACTAGTTTGATGAGCCAAAAAATGAATATTCCTATGATCGGATTAACACTTCTGTACTGGAAATGTTTGACAGAAGCTACAATATTAGATACTAGTAGACACATCATTGCGAGGCGGTCATTGATATGGAGTGATAGAGGAACCAATTTTCTGCAGGTGAGTCCTTTTATAAAATTTGTGTATTTCCGAAGTCGCATCTTCATTCACCTTTCCTGTATTTTCACCTTGTTGTCTTCCTCATTCGGAAGATGTTCCTGGGACATCCTCCTGTCAACGTCCTTATATAGGGTGAACCACTCAATAGTAGCAATTGATAGGAGGAGAAAAGTCCTCATAAACATTGACCGTAAGACGATTCGTTTTCAGGATACAAGTTGAAAGAACTAATTGATTTTCCTTCAATTACTAGATAACGGCTCAATAAAGATATTCTGTTGACAAACGAAGTATCTGTGAGCGGTTAAATTCGTAGTATTTTTCAGCTGATATCAATACCAGTGGTGTCGTTAGGGCAATATCAATGTTTTAATTACTCATATACCTGCATATTAAACTGGTTTGACATAAAATATTGATGTAGCTGTCAAAAAGTTAAATCAAGACACCTGCTATGATTACTGATGGATAGCCACAATATCATTTCGAATCGTTGGCACCATTACATTCAGATGACAGACTAAGTTTTAGCATCACAATATAGCTCGTACAAGATATTTATAAAAAATGATTGCCAGTTCATTTTCGATTTCAACGCCCTATATTTCGGAAATAAAGCTTGTTTTATGACCAATATCCATAGGGAGTTTTATTCTTCATGTAAGATTTTCATCTATTGTCAAAGTTCTCTGCTACTATAAAGTGGACCACCCTGTATAGTCCTTCAAAGACTAATTGGGGCACTGAATAATAATTACCTTTTGATACCTAAATGATGTTATTTGGTCAGTTTGGTGGAGCTGCATTGGAAAAAATAACAGAAGTTCTACAATTGAACTATAATAAGGCTTTGTCTCCAAAAATTGTACAGGGTGACTAGATTACATATTCATCATGAAGGTGGACACAGTAAGAGGTTATCTTGATCAGATGAAACCAACTTTGTTTCATTTAATACGGCCCTGTATTTTTCATTATTGATTTTCAGAGCTTTCAATCTCCTGAAATCAACGGGTTGTATCGAACTTATTCGAAAAAGGTGATTGTTTTTATGCCTATTAAAAATATATTCTTTGTCTTTCTCTCTTACACATGGATTTTAATGGAAAATACCGTTTATATGAATTTTTCGAATGGAAAATAATAAAAATAATAAAAAATTCAGGGCCGTATTCAAAGAATCGAAGTTGATGATGACAGCTCAAACACGAAACGTCAGTTTGAAAATTAGATGACATCCTCTGGTGTATCAAAAAAGTGGAAATGAGAATTGATATATAATTTGTCTTGGTAGGTACTTTGCCATAATTCAACCGATCTTGATTTTTCGATAAGTTTTGTGTATCTCGTACAAAAACGCAAAATGAATAATGAAACTTTAATATACGTCTGTCTTCACAGAGCATCAACATCGAACCATTTGGTATTGAGGCTTATTTTGAATTTTTTGTATTGGTATTTGATTTTGAAATACAAAGAGGTGAAGCACCAAATTATTTGGTAAATGAGCTGACTTATAATAAAGAAATGCATCATCATAACACCAGACGAAAAGAACACTTTTTCATTTTACCGAGGAGTAAAAGATTGGCAGAAAATTCCGTTTTTTTTAAGGATTGAAACAATATAATGACTTGCCATCTGACGTGAAGAATGCATTTTCCATCAATACATTCAAGACCAAGTTGAAAATGTATTTATTGAAACGAACCAACTCAAACTTTTGGAGATTATAAATCATTTATTTAATGTCCTGTATTTTTATTGTACTTTTTGTGTAAGTGTCTAGATGTTCCTTGTTTGTTTAGATCTTATGACTGTTTTTATATTACATTGACTTATATATTAGCTGTTGCTGAATAGATAAATAAATAACCATGTTCGGAAACATCGATAGATTCACTACCTGATTCTGAAAATGTAATTTGTGCGCGGTTAACCTCTGACCAGGGCCTACTCTATAGTAGGCCCTGCTCTGACACAGTAGAGAGCTTTACAGACTGTGCTTCTGATGGGGAGGGATTCTCAAAAGTTGCTGCTTTCCCCAATTCCGGGAGCACTCTGTACAAAAGTAGTTGTCGATTTTGGTGAAATATTTTTTTTTTCAGGTTATTTTCGGTTTAGGTCTCCCTTTTGAGGTTGATCGACAGTCAGTAACAATAGGAACAGTCATAAAAGGATTTTACGAAGTACCGAGTAACAGTAGCGTTTTCACAGAGCCTTCTAATATTATTTACGAGAGGAAAAAACGTTCTACCTCAAGATGGACGATTTATACGATGCTTGAAAAATTCTTCGAGAGGTAATAATATATCAGCTATAATATTATTCCTATATAGGAAGTTGATAATGTAAGATACTACCAATCTCACTCATCTTGGATTTCTCACATGTATAATATTTGTTGAATAGAACACAATTAATTTACTAGGTAAATAAGTAATTAAGTTACGAAACAAAAAATAACAAGACGATAGTTGCTCAATTCTCCAGTTTTTCACAAATTCATCATACTGAAATTGGCAGAAATATATTTTCTTACAAGAAACTCTAATTACTGTTTGGTATCAATGAAATTGGCTCACGTTATAACTCAGTAAGCATAGTCACATCACAGAGATATCGCAGTTATGTAACAATTGTGACCTTCGATATTCTATGTCGTATAGACTTCGGTGCTATGCCAGATAGATGTTATTCTGTCCCACTCAAGTTTCTTCCATGCGGCGTCGCTGCGATATATTCTTCGCAATGTAATTGCGATATGGTATTTGAGATGGTAAAGCAATATATTTTTGCGATTAAAATACGTCGTCCTTCCAGCGGCGCTTTTCTTGGTACTAACATAGCTCCATCAGAATGAGGTCAGTTACTCGTATCTGTATCAAAAATTGTGTACTGCTGTGTGTCGGCGACATGTAAGCGAACCAAGAATAGTTTGATAGCAATCTAACGAATGTTTGCGGATTCAGCTTCACTTTGTTGAGTAACGTATCTCAATGTATTCTTTTTCATCGAACACGAATCTGAATAACAAATTTTTGAAAAAATTCTCGCCGATGAGTTTGCTCCAGTACATCGCGACATCTCAGAGATGTCATGTCGCAGATGTGTTTGCTTTTGTACATCGCAACGATGGAACATTCGTGATATGTCGCAGATGTGTTTCGTTCTGTATGTACATCACAGCGATGAAACATTCGTGATATCGCAGTGTTGTCTCATCCAGATATCTCAGAGATGTCGTGTCTCAGATGTGCTTGCTAATGAACATCGTAGCGATGGAACGTTTGTGATATCGCACTGTTAACCTGAACGCGACGTCTCATAGATGTCATGTCACAGATTTCTTGGCTGGGAAATAACATAGTACAATTGAACGACTTCAGTTAAATAAAAAAAAAAAAGTTGATAGAAAATCAATCTCTCGGTTTTTTATACAAATTCATTCAGCTGACCTTGGTAGAAATATATTTTCTTTTTCAAGGACCTTATCAACTTATCTAACGGAGTTGACATTATCCGAAGTGAATGTCATCTTAACTATTGACGTCAAACTAATTCCAGTATAATTTCATGCTCCTCTACCCAAGAAGAAGGGGAACGTATCCGGAAATTTGTTCAGTTGCTATGGTAACAATACAAAATACAGGCATTCAATCGGTCGAAAACGATAGGTGTGATTGGTGTGAGATTTTCATCTATAATTCTTGAAGAATACATTGTTAGATTGAGGTTCTTGTTCCAAAATATTGAATCAGTAATTCAATGCGGTTTTACTGTATTATCTATATTCCCACTAAGGTGAAGTTTGATAATGCATCCTTGCAGCAATATTACATGTTGCTGTGACATTGCTGGAACGTCACATTTACAAATTTACATTTGCAATATTGCTGAACGTCCGTTCCAGTAATTGCTACAACCTTGCATCAACATAGCTTCCAAATATGCTTATACAGGGTGGCATTGAAATAAGTGCATATATTTGAAACACTGAGAAAGCTCCACGTGTACTATCGAATGACACTAATGGAGAAAATTTAATGATCAAAATAAAATTTGAGGTTAGACACCTTTTTCCACCAAAAGTTCTACACTGTCGCAAATCTGACGTCACCTCTGTTCAAATTTCCATGCAGTAGGCACAATCACACGGAGTTCAATCTTTCAAATTGTTTCAAAGTGGTGTACTTGATTTTTTTCTCGTATTTTCTTCAATTTTTGGGATGAAATTTCTCGTTAATTATAAGGATTAGAAAAAATCTGATATTATGAGAATATTCCTCAGACTGTATCATACTAATGTGCTGAATATGTGCACTTATTCCAAAAACACCTTGTATAGTGGGTTCATAACTTGAAATGAAAAATGTGAAACATTTCAGTTTCCAGTTTAATAATCGATCCTCATGAGGAGTTTAGCTGCGAAAAGATTAATGTATTTTTGATTGCAGGTATAATGGAGGAGACGGCAAATCCTGCCTTCTGAAATCAATCTGCGAAGTCTCACATTCTCCATTGGATGACAGCCACAGTATCCTCGCCGAAATTATTTCAGCTGTTTTAAGGTAACGTGCCCTTGGAATTACAGGGTGTTGCGCAATTCTATGCCTCGAATCAAAATACAGTGTGTCCCGCTTTTAATGAATACACCCCGATATCTTAATTATTAATGATGCCTCTTGATATTTTAGTGGTGATTGTATGTTAGAACAACAATGAAGTATTCAGCAGAGTGAACAGTTTCATTCACCATTGGCGAGGAATGTTGAGTGGTACAAAGAAGGCCATTATTCAAAAAAAGGATATCAAGGCTTATTTTAAATAACTGTTTTTATTAGATTCAGAATCAGCATCCCCAAAACCCCCCCAATACACATTTTCATAAGAAAAATTCAAAATTCCGCTTTTCTTGACTATGTCCCAAAATCTATTAGTTATTATTGATGCGATTTTCTGGAAACTGTGATGGTGATTGTATGTTATTTTTACAACATACAATCACCATCATTATTTCAAGTAGATCGCATCGTTGATAACTGAGATTTAAGGGTGTTGTCATGAAAAGCAGGATATTGAATTATTTTATTTTAGCTCTTGGGATCTTGAAAATATGAATTAGGGTGTTTTCGGGAATGCTGATTATGAATCTGACAAAAATAGTTATTTATTATACAAGGGAAAAAAGTAGTTGATTTTAGCTCCACGTTGTGTTGTCTCCCGACGGATCAATATTAAGAAGTTAGTACATTACCGTGAGCTAAAATCTAATATTTTTCCCGTGTATAATACACTATTTTTTTCTGTGACAGAAGGAAGGACGAATGAATATTGAGAAGATATTACATTATTTCGAAATCTGAAAATTATCGACGTGAAATTTCAAGTTTTTAACAGTAGGGACACCTGCGTTTTATAGGCATCTTTATCATTCTTTTGAAGTAATCAAATATCTGATGTCACTTCTGTCAGTTCAATTTTGTGATTTGATTTTAAAAAATTGCGAATTCAGTAGTTGTTTAGTAATATACGAAACCGCGAAGTCGAATGTAAGATAAAAGGACTTGCAGTTCTTTCTCGGAGACGGTATTATTGACTAATTTTTCGGAACTATAGCACGACAAAAGCCATTTACAGAGTATATATATGTGATATACCGGGTGTCCCATTTTAATCTTTATTTGGAAATTTCTCGAAATGTATGCATCTGACTAAAAAAATTGACGAATAAAAGTTGTATGGTTTGGAGGGGGACGTCTGGTTATAAAACAAGTGTCACCCCCTGACCCCCAGGGGAGTAAGAAATGGAGGTAACATTGAAATCTTCAATGAAAACCCCTATTTTTTATTGCAGATTCTGGAACAGCATTAAAAACTATGAAGCTTTTATTCGGGAACTTCTTTTTTATTTTCACAAGATGACGCTGCGATCGTAAAACACAATATTTCACTATTTACACATTTCAACCCCCTGAAGAAGAGGAAGAGTGTAGGGTGTGATATGTTCCTAGACAAACGCCATTGGGGTGATATTCACACGACAAATTAACGCTAAACGAACTTACTTACCTTGACACCTCTACATAAAAAAGAGAAAAATAAACATGTTTCAGCAATTAAGGTATCATTTAGGTCAGACTAGAGCTGGTTTCAAGTGAGATTGACTACTTTATCGAGTGTTCGAAATGACCTCCATTTTCTTGAATACACAAGTTCACTCGTTTTTCAAAATTCCGCATTGTTGCTTCCAACATAGCAGGCGTTATCTTTCATATTCTCGCGTGTGGTTGGAGGTTCGCGAAACACAATGTTTTTGATGTAACTTCACAGAAAGAAGTCTGGGGAAGTCAAGTCGGGTGATCTGGGTGGCCAACTACAAACTAAATAGTAAAATATTGTTTTTCAAGATCGCAGCGCCATCTTGTGAGAATAGAAAAGAAGTTATTGAAAAGGAATATTCTCAGATATATTATAAACATGAAAAAATGGATACATTTGAATAAATACATTGAGAATTCGCATTCTCTATGTGATGAAATTATTAATTCTTTCTCGGCATATTCAACAGAAAACAACTACTTTCCTGGCTATATGCCACGACGAACATTGAATTATATCAATTGAACATACACGATAGGAATTTGAGCATAAAATGAATATCGTCTGAAATTGAGAATTGACATTCTCTTCCAGAATCGGATGAATACTATGATGAATATAACGATATAAAAAATATATTACTTACCAAATTGGTATGAAAATTGGAATGTATGGGAGAAATATACTAGTATACATACTCTGTTCTTGTTGAGTCGTGAATTTATCAAAAATCATCCGTATCCATGATGTTTGGGATATATGCACATCTCTTTCACATAGGTTAGATGATTTTGATTCGAATAAAATTCATTTCGAGTTTCAAACTCTCCTCAGTAACCTGAAGTCCAGTCATTCCTTCAGCCATTCTTCATTTAATACACAATTTTCACATTTCTATAATAATATAACTAAAACTATAGTGGAACTGACATCTATCTGAGAATGAAAATTTGTTGACTTATCTCCAGTCATGTGGGTGGCAATTGTTTTAGATGTATGACAAACTGACATTTATCATACAGGGCGTGGAAAGAAATTCTGAATTGAGAAAAACCCAATCACGAATCTGCGATTGAAGGTCTATAAAAATAACAAGTTTCCATCGTTCAAGTTTGAACCCCTTGATTGGGTATGAAAGTATTGAAAAGGAATATTCTCAGATATATTATAAACATGAAAAAATGGATACATTTGAATAAATACATTGAGAATTCGCATTCTCTATGTGATGAAATTATTAATTCTTTCTCGGCATATTCAACAGAAAACAACTACTTTCCTGGCTATATGCCACGACGAACATTGAATTATATCAATTGAACATACACGATAGGAATTTGAGCATAAAATGAATATCGTCTGAAATTGAGAATTGACATTCTCTTCCAGAATCGGATGAATACTATGATGAATATAACGATATAAAAAATATATTACTTACCAAATTGGTATGAAAATTGGAATGTATGGGAGAAATATACTAGTATACATACTCTGTTCTTGTTGAGTCGTGAATTTATCAAAAATCATCCGTATCCATGATGTTTGGGATATATGCACATCTCTTTCACATAGGTTAGATGATTTTGATTCGAATAAAATTCATTTCGAGTTTCAAACTCTCCTCAGTAACCTGAAGTCCAGTCATTCCTTCAGCCATTCTTCATTTAATACACAATTTTCACATTTCTATAATAATATAACTAAAACTATAGTGGAACTGACATCTATCTGAGAATGAAAATTTGTTGACTTATCTCCAGTCATGTGGGTGGCAATTGTTTTAGATGTATGACAAACTGACATTTATCATACAGGGCGTGGAAAGAAATTCTGAATTGAGAAAAACCCAATCACGAATCTGCGATTGAAGGTCTATAAAAATAACAAGTTTCCATCGTTCAAGTTTGAACCCCTTGATTGGGTATGAAAGTATTGAAAAGGAATATTCTCAGATATATTATAAACATGAAAAAATGGATACATTTGAATAAATACATTGAGAATTCGCATTCTCTATGTGATGAAATTATTAATTCTTTCTCGGCATATTCAACAGAAAACAACTACTTTCCTGGCTATATGCCACGACGAACATTGAATTATATCAATTGAACATACACGATAGGAATTTGAGCATAAAATGAATATCGTCTGAAATTGAGAATTGACATTCTCTTCCAGAATCGGATGAATACTATGATGAATATAACGATATAAAAAATATATTACTTACCAAGAGATGTGCATATATCCCAAACATCATGGATACGGATGATTTTTGATAAATTCACGACTCAACAAGAACAGAGTATGTATACTAGTATATTTCTCCCATACATTCCAATTTTCATACCAATTTGGTAAGTAATATATTTTTTATATCGTTATATTCATCATAGTATTCATCCGATTCTGGAAGAGAATGTCAATTCTCAATTTCAGACGATATTCATTTTATGCTCAAATTCCTATCGTGTATGTTCAATTGATATAATTCAATGTTCGTCGTGGCATATAGCCAGGAAAGTAGTTGTTTTCTGTTGAATATGCCGAGAAAGAATTAATAATTTCATCACATAGAGAATGCGAATTCTCAATGTATTTATTCAAATGTATCCATTTTTTCATGTTTATAATATATCTGAGAATATTCCTTTTCAATACTTTCATACCCAATCAAGGGGTTCAAACTTGAACGATGGAAACTTGTTATTTTTATAGACCTTCAATCGCAGATTCGTGATTGGGTTTTTCTCAATTCAGAATTTCTTTCCACGCCCTGTATGATAAATGTCAGTTTGTCATACATCTAAAACAATTGCCACCCACATGACTGGAGATAAGTCAACAAATTTTCATTCTCAGATAGATGTCAGTTCCACTATAGTTTTAGTTATATTATTATAGAAATGTGAAAATTGTGTATTAAATGAAGAATGGCTGAAGGAATGACTGGACTTCAGGTTACTGAGGAGAGTTTGAAACTCGAAATGAATTTTATTCGAATCAAAATCATCTAACCTATGTGAAAGAGATGTGCATATATCCCAAACATCATGGATACGGATGATTTTTGATAAATTCACGACTCAACAAGAACAGAGTATGTATACTAGTATATTTCTCCCATACATTCCAATTTTCATACCAATTTGGTAAGTAATATATTTTTTATATCGTTATATTCATCATAGTATTCATCCGATTCTGGAAGAGAATGTCAATTCTCAATTTCAGACGATATTCATTTTATGCTCAAATTCCTATCGTGTATGTTCAATTGATATAATTCAATGTTCGTCGTGGCATATAGCCAGGAAAGTAGTTGTTTTCTGTTGAATATGCCGAGAAAGAATTAATAATTTCATCACATAGAGAATGCGAATTCTCAATGTATTTATTCAAATGTATCCATTTTTTCATGTTTATAATATATCTGAGAATATTCCTTTTCAATACTTTCATA